TTCATAATTGTAAATAAGTTCTGTTAATCAATGAAGGAAAGATATGTAAATGATATGCAAATTAGCCCCGGCGCTATGCATTTTTTCTGGGGAGAACCCTGACTGATCTCAGTGGAAATATGCATTGTTGTATGTGTTCAATGAAGCAAATAATTTATCTTGTAATAATATCCTTGGTAATGTATCTCAGAATCCCATACTGGGTTTCAAAACCAACTCATGGAGAGATTGCACAGTCTGATACACATTTGCAAACCTTCCAATAAAATCTTTACAGAAAACAAGAAAATCAATATAAGCACTCCTATGAACTGGGTGCCAAACTTTGATCAAGATCAGAAGCTAATAGAAAATCTGTTTAGTTCGAAGTTATCAAATCAAAAACAATACATAAAAAATACATTAAAAGCAAAACATTTCATCCACATTTTATAAAGAAAATTGTTCTAAAATATGTATTCTGTATTTGACAAACAGTTCATTCGACAAATGAAAACTCACAGGAATATGTTTCAGCTATTAGAACAGAATGATATAGTTTTATAATACTAGTTTAAAAACACACTTCAAAGATTGCAGTGTTTGAAGATGTAGATTCTCAGGAGGCAACAGTACTGTTGACTTCTCCCTCCACTGAACACCAACTAACTATTTAAGTTGATTTGCATACAAAGCAGAGCTTGCAATATGATAGCTATTCATAAAGGTTTTTTTTTTTTTTTTTTTCATATAATACAGTAGTCACACAATGAGGCAGTTCATATTTGTCTCAGTGAATCATTAATTTTTGACAGACACCTGTACAAAATACTTGGACAAAAGCCAGCTAAGATTTTCTGTTATCTTGCATGTTTTATGAATCTATTCACGCATAAATGCAGCACTTTTTTTTGCGATGAGGCATTTTTTTTATAATAAAATATCTTAATTACTTTGAATGAAGCTAGAAATTATGTCCCTTAAAATAATTAAACAAGGCACCAATGTTTTTGTAAGATATTTACATCTTTAAAGATATTTACATCTTCAATCGGTAGGCTGATTCCCCACTGTTGGTTCAACCTCAAAACTTGTTTGTATTCAAAATTAATAGTGACAATGCATATTTATATTGAAACAAACTATGATAAAGGGAATTATATTATATAACAAAGGGCAAGGTCACCAGAGTTCAACTATGTTTATTAATGTGGTGTTAATTGTCTCCACAGTTTTAAAAGTTCATCGGTCATGGTCATGGCAACTCCGAGTCCCGAGTGTGTAGGACGAGAGTTTGTCAGACAGTACTACACGCTGCTGAATGAAGCCCCTCTTCATTTACACAGGTAAGCAAGCTTTTCATTAAGTACTGTGAAATATTTCATTTTCGCTTGGAATTAATTTTTGCTATTTTCGCTAAAGTGAATATACCTTTTTTCCTATATTTTACATTCAACTTATCACTAATCAGCGAAAATTAATTCCAGCTAAAATAAAGTATTTTACAGTACCACTTATCGTTGTCACTGGCAAGCTGTGCTAGTCTTTTATTTGAAGGACTTGTTACTGTTCCGACCATCTAACATGTCTAGATCGGTTTTGTTCAGCTTACTGTGACAGATCAGTGTTTTTCCCAGCATAATACTGACATGACTGCTGGGAAAGAACACTGAACTAAAGTCATTTCTTGATCTGGGTTTGGACAAGCATACAATGGACAGCTATTGTTTAAAACTTTACCATAGTGTTTTACTAGTGTCGTGTCTCTGACATGCCTTGACTGATTCAGTGTTTTCTCCGAAAAAATTGTCATTTTAAACTCGTCAGCATACTAATTAACATATTGTACAGTTGTATTTTTCGATAGAAATTTGATTTACTGTATATAGCGAATTAGGTAATTAAAATGGGTTATATTACCAAAATATAGTATAAGGTTATTACGAGGATCCTTCAAAGTATGCACGAAGACAGTACAGTGGGAGTATTGACAGATGCGCAGCGGAGGTAGATGCGACTTTGAGGTCTCCTTGTAATAAACTTGTTATTATACATCTTTTCCTTCCAAAGATACATCATGGGAATGCTGAAATCCAAAAAGTTTAGAACAGAATCTGTGAACTTCTGTGTGTGGCGTCTAATTAAACCCCTAGTGGCAGCCATGTTTGTTTTTATTATCAGAGGATGCTTACATGCGTAATCATTCCATATTACAAATACCCCATTAAAATTATGACACACTGTAACTTATGACGTTACGGTGACAGATGTATAATAATATTTAATATGAAATCGTTGAAAATAGAGATTTATACTGTATAAATTTGAATGCCCCCAACACCCATAATAGCTTTGCACTTGTGCTGGTAATTTGAATACCACATGTTGCCATTAGGAACTATCCATTTCAGTCCAAGTCTGTTTGGAATTTATTTTACTTGCTTAATACACCATTTAGTTGTGCTTGCTCAACATTCTAACTGTATTTCTGTTTTAATCAGCTGAATATGAAAATGTGTTTCTAGTAGCATAATTGTGATTTACCAACAAACCTCCTTCATTGTGTCTACTCATTCAGCCCTTCATGGTTGTAAGTTGTGCATGTTGTCATCTCTCTACCACTCTTGCTACCATATTTACTTCAAAACTTGTGTATTGATTTTAAATTACTGCATTAAAGCTGTTTTGGTTAGCTGATTTTTACTGTATTGCCGACAATTATAGCCTAGTGCCGTTTTTAACTTTTGGATGCAACACAAACACCACGCTTCACGCTCAGTGTTCTCACCAGGAATTTAAACCACTGTGTTGGCCTAATTTGCATATCATTTACATAATAATAGAAATTGACCATCGCACATTTACACCCACACAAAGAACAACATATTTTCAAAACCAAAGTCGCAGATATTTAATGGCTTTGCACAGTGTTATAAACACTTTTATTTTGGACACTTTTGTAATATTAATGAGCTCGATCACAGTGCAAATATTTTTTTTTATTAGAGTCAAAATATTACGTTTCACAATTTAGAAGAGTTTGAATTTAAAAATAAAAACTTTCTCGAAATGCAAATGCTGCAGACTAACAAATAAATTGTAAAAGGTTAAATGAAACTCATTTGAAACGTTTCAGCCAGGATTATGTTCACGACATGATCTTATTTACTACAAAATTCTCCTTCAAAAAATCGACCACGTAATTATTTGGCGGATTGCTGGTTATTATTCAGACTATCGGCTTCTACAACGTTTACATTTACAGTAATGAATGAACAAATAACACTTCCAAGCGATCATCAAAGTTACGACGTGACATATCTTACTTTGTGATGTTATACACCGGTTACTGTAGAATACTTTATTTTTGCTTGGAATTTATTTTCGCTATTTTTGCTGAAGGGATGATTTCGTGAAAATAAAATCCAGCGAATATACTTTTTTTTCTATATTTAACATTAAACTCATCAAAAATCAGTGAAAATAAATTCCATACAAAGCACCCAAAAAGCCTTTTCAGCGAAAATTAATTCCAGCGAAAATAAAGTATTTCACAGTATACCAATAATTCCTCGTTTTCGGTCATGATGCTAGAACTAGAAATAAAAGTAAAATTTGACTTAGTTTTATCGGGAGTGGATATTTTTGATCACTCAATCGCTTCAGTTAAAAAAAACCCACCATGTTTGTGACGTATTAGTTGACTGGCATGCGTCCTTTGACCCGATGGATCAATAATTCCATTAACCAATCAGAATGCCGCATGGTAATGCCAGTAGAATCAAAAGTTTTCAGAATGGTAGTGATCATAAAAATTACATTGCGGAAGTAAAGCGATGTCGTAGCACAATGTGTTGACATTGATTTCAGTTGAAAACTGCATGATGGTTATTGAAAGAGGTGATTAGCAATTTTTAAAAGGTAAAATGATTCTTGAAAGAGTTTTTACCAAATCATGCAATAAACACGTTGATTTTTTTTTTCCTTGAGTAGCGTAAACTGTCAGATCGTGAATTCCGCTTTGACCATGTTATATCGAGGTGAAATTGATTTTGAAAAATTTTTAGCTTTCAATCTAAAGACTATCGCAGAAAGTATTTACTTACAAAGAGGTGCTAATATCACAAAACTGACTAGCCGCTACGTATCATGCGACTAGGTCTATTGTTTACAAATTATAATCCACGACTGGCAGGATGCATGTCGGTCGGTACATAATTGTAATAACAATCGGACAATAGTCCTGGTTGAAAGCATTTCCGTGATGGTCGCTAATTTTGAGTGCCAGCCAGGCCGACCACTGCCAACCAGCGTGGCGAGATCCCTGACTGTACTGAATCATGCAACTTCACCATTTACTGTAAAATCTGTATTAGAAGTCACAGCTTCTATTGGAATAGTACAATGCAAAAGAGAAATGATGAATTTTTGGTTCCAAATTGTTCAAAAAGAATGGATGCGACTTCTATTAGGGATGCAGCTTCTAATACAGATTTTACAATACTTAATTACAATTACAATTTACATAAGCATATGAACTAATAAGGTATCTTGTAGTAAAAACCTGTGATAAAGGTACCTCGTACCTCCTCTAATTCTAAGTGTCCGTCTCCTAGTCTAATTGTGTATGCGTTTCTTCAACACAGTTGCCTATAGTACATGTACAATTAGATTTGGGTGGCATGTTGAATGCTGAGTGCCATCATTAGTCAGTTAAGCCATGAAAGCTAACGTTTCATAATTTTAATGACTTGTGTTCTGTGTTATATTTGGTCATACTTTGTGTTTTTCAGATTTTACAGCAATAATTCTTCATTCTTACACGGTGGAGTTGATCATGAAGAACCAGTTATTGGCCAGGCAGTAAGTAGAGATAGGTTTGGTTACCATCATACCAACCTACACTGCTCTTATGTATATTCAGTTTTAATTTCATGAATTTGTCAAGTAAACATTGAGTTTCGTTATTTTACATGTTCACATAGATTTAATTTAGCAGGTTTTTGCTTATCAGCGAAAATCGCGAAATTTTAAAAACCCGGTGAATAATTAATGCATTTACAGTACCCACAATTTGATAAATGACATGTGTAACTATCAAATAGACAGTCATAACACAGATGGACTTGTATAGAACGTGAATTTTTTTTATGGATAGGCAAAAAATGATAAAAACACATCTGAGTCGGAATTTATTTAAAAATTTGATATTTATTATTTATTGTTTTCTGAACTAAGATGAATCTGCAAAAAAATTTCTGAACATGGTCTTTATACATAACTTTCATACCTTGGGTTTGCCTATAGTGGTCACTTGTAGACAGGTTGGTCTTAGTATAAAGGTGGTCATTAACACGGGTGTGACTGTACATATGTTATACTTTGTACATTACAAGTTAGTACAACTAATCATTGCATTGTTACAATGAGGTGTTCACTGATATCATAGAGCTCGTTGATAAGATATATTATATCAATAATAGGCATAAGTACTACCCTTCTGTTAAGTTTTTCAAAAAAAATTGCACTGCTACATAATTTTTTTTTGTATATGTACTTGCTAAAACTTTCATAAAATTTACTGTACCATATCGTTTTTACACAAACTTTACAACTGTGAATAATATGCATCATGGTTGTGATAAATATTGATATACAATTTGGACTTCAGCTATTCCTTGACAGTCAATGGCAAATTTTTCGTTTAGATTTTTTGTCACTTTAGTTTTGCTGGATCCAATAATTGAGTTTTGCCTTGTAGGGTTCTCCACGGTTTGAAAATTAAACAGGGCGCGCAAAAGTGAAGTGGGCGTGGCACATTTGTAACTTGCATCATTGGCATGGATGTTGAAAAATGGAAACCAAAAAATCTATTAATCTACATATTATTCCATATGCATAATATATATTTATTATTACAAAATAAATGAGAATTTTGAAGAGCTATTAAGTAAACGTCAGCACGTACAATCAGCTGATTTTTAGCTGCACGATTCATCACACGGCGACATCAGTTGTTTACCAGTAATGATCGCGTCCAAAAAAAAGATGTAACAAGTTTGTTAATTTATTTTTCCAAATAGATACATACATGCTTTATTTAACTTTTAGCAAAAATTTGTATTTATGATTTATATTTATTTGGACGAAGCAATGTTAGTAATTGGTTCATTAAAAAAACCAAAACCAAAAAGCAAGATGAAATAAAAATAAATAATGAAATAAAATGTACACAATGGAAGATTTTCGATCTGCAGTTAACAGTAACTAGCAAAAATAATAGAATTAGGTATAAAAAACAAAATACATAAAAGAATAATTTTCATTCGAATCGAAAGTTTGTTGATGTATGCTTCGTTGAAAGCAGCTATTTTACTGTGCACCCTGATACTATGTAACGATGTTTTTGATTGGCTAAAGCCACACATTGACGCGAAAAGCAACCAATCAGAATATTTGTTCCAAGAAGAACACAAGTAAATTTATTTCCTCCACTTACGATGCGAGTTGAAAGCATGGCAGTTGTACCAGGGTTTTTAAATCGCGATTTAAAGAATATTGACGATGTTGCTGCTACAAGTCACGGCGTGAGCTTGGTTTTAACATGGAACTATAAACCCCAGGAAGAACAAAGAAACTAAGAGGATTAAGAAAACCTTTGTCTTAATTTACCTTGCAGTGCTTTCGCTTTGGTTTCCAAAACATTAGTCATACTCCATGTTAGTTGTCGCCGATACGCTCGTATCAACCACTATGCTGGAAACGGAAAAATTTGAAAAACAAATTTCATATCTGCGCAGTAAAATATTTCGTTCACTACGCGTGCGCAAACAAGTCGGTCTGCAGGGTGACCTTCAGTGTACCGGAAATCATGCAATGGGTTGGAGTTTTAGCAAGTTTTCATAAGTTTCAATGTCGTTTTTAGATTACTTCTTGTTTTTTTCAACCCTCGAAAAAATGAGGTTGCGAAAGTTTGCGAAACATGAGTTTTGGTATGCGGTTTGTTGTCGAGATATCCCGACTTATTCCGTGTTTCCCTTCGATCGCCAGAAGTGGCAATGTGTTTTATCAGTGTTTTTGTCTAGGTGCCATTGTTTTTTTATGCTATAACCGAAACAACTCGATCATGTGATCTCCCGAAGTCGCCCGATTGACTCCGAAAATCACTGATAGTTAGAGATGAACGTTCAGTTGCGTAAATCGACTTACTTTTTAATGCGACGAAATAAAGTCAAAATAAACATTTGACATCGCGGCAACTATCATAGTTCAAAGGAAACGAAGTGGTTGTTCTTCCTGGGTTTATAGTTCCATGGTTTTAACCATAGACCTTATGTTTTAACAAATGGTTTTACCGATAATGATTTTTGACTCTCGTGTGCGAAGCACAAAAAGGGAGTCTTTGCAGTTAGTGTGTCTGTCTGGGTGTCTGTGTGTGTGTGTGTGTCTGTTCCATCGATATCTCAAGAACCAATGTTCGGATTTCAATGAAACTTGGTATATACAGTACAGCTCAAAACTTGCTTACCTAACGTGTTGACTTGCGTTAACGCCACGTTAAGATCGCGTTAGGACCATGCCAATGCCTCGTTAACGCAGGTTAGCTTTGCGTTAACGCAAGCAGCTCATTAACTTTGATAGCTTTGTTTGCATGCAAATGAAGAGAACAATAGTGTTCTGTGTTATGTGATCGCGTGTGCAACAAAGCTGGTCGAAAAGACTCAGTCTGTAGACTTCAGTATTTGAATTTGCGCGAACGTTTTTACAGTTTTAATAAAAAATAAAACTACGTATTCATGTTATTTTGATCTAGATTCAAATATATAAAAAAATGTAGTAGTCACGTTGCAAAACGGTTATTTAGAATGATGCAGTACGACATACAAAGTATCATTTTTTTCTTGCGTCATAGGCAAAAATGTGTGCATTTGTTTCACACGCGATTCGGTAAATTACGTAAAGTCGTACAAATTGTACTTCGATTTTTGTACAAATTCGGTAATCGTTCGTTTCTTGGATATATCAATTCAGTTTGACAATAACGCCTTTGATTTGTGTTCAGTGAAAGAAGCCTTCCACAAACCTCAGACTTGTATTACTAGTCTGAGCGCAAACCCAAACAGACGTGCTGTGCCGTGTCAGACGGGAAGTGACGCTGACATGTCTTATTTTGTTATGGACGCTTAAAGCGCGGCTCCGCAATCCAAGGAATTGCACCAGTGCATCATGGGAAATGTAATTTGCATGGTCCGCCCAGTTGTTTACTTGGTACACAGCTGTTATAATTTCAACTGAAGGCGTTAATTCCGTAAGCTAACGTCATGCATTACGCTATTATCTGATTTGAAAGGACTTGCTGAATCCCGTTGTTCGACGTTCACTGGGCCTACGCACTCTTTTGAAAGCCGTTTTCTGTGTTTGTTTCGCTCGTGGTCGACTGTAAAGCACAATTTCTGTAAATGGCGTGACGGCATTGTAAGGTTCTCTCTGAATTGAGCTCATGCCTTTGCTTTCTTGCTATTGTACTAATATGTTACAAGTGCGACCTTTTTATACAATGTATTTATTCATTCACTCGTACGTTACGAGTGCGACGTATTCATACTACGTACTGTGCTATGTTGCCGTGGGTTTATTTATAAATATAATTAGTACGTAGTTGCAACAAGCCAATTATTATTAAAAATCTAAATAGGCAAAGTTATGAGTAAATCAATATAGATACATCGAACATGCAACGTGCGGTTCATGAATAAATAGTTATCAGTAAACTTTTGGCAAAAATCCGTTGCCGAAAAGTCGGGGTATTAAATGGTGACTGAAACTTTCATTCACCACTTCTAA